GCCCCTCCGAGCTGGAGGCACAGCTTGTTGGTTTCTTTCTCTGAGCACTTGCTTCAGCCCTGTTCTGTGCAGCAGATCTCAGGGCCATCTGCAGCCCCAGGAAAACCAGGGAAGCTCTGAACACAATCAGAAGTCCCTCTGCATAGAACAGCTTGTGGTACAGAGAGCCCCAGGGTGAAGCTGATGGGAGTTTGGCTGTATTTTTTCAGCAGGACTTTTGTCCCTGTTCTTTTTTCCAGACTTGTTCAATGTGGTTCAGAGTGTCAGTGGGACTTACAGATGCTCATGGGGCTACTCAATATATAGAGTAAGGCACATTCCCAAAGCTGCTCTAGTCTAGCTATTAGCTGATGTGTACCACATCATATTCCGCTCCCTTATCTTCCCTCATGTCATTGTGGCCAGCAGCCACACGGCCTGTTCAATTCAATCTCCTTGTACTTAATGACATCTGTGTGGTCATTGCTGTAAAGCCCTGGGTTCCCCAGACACTGTGCATTGATATACACACACTGACTAAGTACATGGTACTTGCTTATTGACATGAGATGTGGTTGGTACCACCTGAGAGAGAGCCATCAATATTATCATGGTTGAAGTTAGCTAAGAAAAATTGTTGCAGGCTTCAAAGCCAGACCTCTTTGCTGCTGACGGCTTTAGGCCACTGCTGGAGAGTGCTTTGTAAGAGACACTTGCACCTCACCACAGGTTATAAGCCAGGCAGTGGTAGCTCCAGAATAAGATTTTCTGGCCCACATTTTGCAAGACATTAGTCAGTCAGAAATCTTTAGTGTAAAAAATATCTGATAGCCCACCAAGACATTTCCTTCAGCTGGTATTTTCCACAGTCAACTGCAAAGGAAACACAAGTCCCATACATGGTCCATCGCTCATACAACAGTTCATGCATCCTGCTTCTCACCATTATCCTCTGTCTCTCTGTGATCTGTCAGCTACAGATCCGTAACAGTCTGGTGGCAAAGCTGGAATCCCGTACCAGGTACCTGAACAATCCCAAAGGCACCAGGTTGCTCTAAATCACTTCTTCTCTGAAGCAGCATTGTGTAGTACCGAACAAGCCAAGCTGATCCAGAGTTACCAGACAGGCTGGATTTTCTACAGAGAAATTGAACTTGAGCAGTAGGGCCCTCCCCACTACGGACAAAACCTGAAGTACCACAAGAAACTTGGGTACCATTAGATTAAACTGTCAAAATACTTCTTTTTGGACTTAACATCTACACATTAGCTCTATTAACTGTCTGAAGACAGTGCAGAGGAGAGAAAGCCTGCTTGCAATACTACTTTATGGATGTCTAGAGAAGGGCTTGCCTCAGATGACTACACTGATGTAAATGCAGCACACTAGTAACTTGAGAAATAATCTGGGATGGGTGTTTGTGTCTCATCTTAGAGAGCTAAGGCAAACAAGGAAGAGCTTGTCCACTGGGACATTATAACTGATGTGGCTCACCACATCTCTAGCTGTCAGGCAATGTCCAGCAAGCATATGTTATTTTTAACCATTGCTTAATGACATCTAACTAAATGGGGGTGCATGGCCAGTCATGCAACACCTGACCAAGTGACACTTAGTTCTTGGGACAAGACTGATCTCTAATGCCAAGAGCTAAAGGCTGGCACCAAATTTGAGTTCTAGATGTGCATCACCTGGCAGTCAATCCAGGACTACAAAAAGTCCTCAAAAGAGCACTTTCATTTTGAGTGTCTCCATAGCAAAGCAAGGATCATGTCCCACTAGGACCTTTGGACCAGCCATTGCTACAAAATGTTCATGGCTGTGTTGTGTGAATTCCTCATACCAGAAGAGGCCTCTTTCTTTCTATACACTTTCCTCACTGGGAGTAGATTTTGGATCAAACCTTCACATCATATGATAAAAATAAAATGCAAAAGTTTTCCCCTGAAAACCTGTGATCTGCAGAGAAGTTAACAGGACCTGCATACTGAAACAGGACAGTAAACGTGTAATGAGGTAAGAGGTCGCTTAAACTTCTAGTGCCCCAGAGAGCTAGACTGTTACGTGTCTCTGAAGAGGGACTTTCTACAAGGGTGTGTAGTGATAGGAAAAGGGGGAATGGCTTTAAACTGACAGAGGGGAGATTTAGATCAGATATCAGGAAGAAGCTCTTCCCTGTGAGGGTGCTGAGGCACTGGCACAGGTTGCACAGAGAAGCTGTGGCTGCCCCATCCCTGTCAGTGTTCAAGGCCGGGTTGGACAGGGCTTGGAGCAAGCTGCTCTAGTGGAAGGTGTCCCTGCCCATGGCAGGGGGTTGGAACTGGATGAGCTTTAAGGTCCCTTCCAACCCAAATCATTCTGTGATTCTGCCTTCAGAATAAGGTCAAATTTCCCTGTCCAGCTCATGGTGGCTGGAGTAGGTGAGATAATGGAAAAATTCAAGTAACACAGGGCCCACTGTGGGGATCCACATTGACTCCATGAGGAACTACACAGAAATATCTGTTTTCTGCTACAGGAGCAGGGTCCCCCCAGCCAAGCACCCAGATCAGACAGTCCCAGGCTGAATGTCATATGAGCCTGGCTGCACAAGCTGGAACCCGTGTGGGCAGTGGTGGAAGAGTAGCCAGGGATGCATGGCAATGCCATAAGCACCTCTTGCCAGGGGGCTGGTCACACCCCGAGCAAACATTCTGGAGTGAGTCCTGATTATTGCTTCTCACTGGCTCAACCAGCCAGCTCGCTTTTTGTGCAGGACTGATGCAAGGTTCCTGTAACCTCCTTTGCATCTCACACTGGTCTACCTTCTTAGCTCAATCTGCTTCCATATCAGATGAAAGCATATTTCATGTACTTTGGGGATAAGGATTACCAGTAAGAAGGGATGCTAGCTGCCAGGTAAGCAAGGTTTATAGCAGGAATGATTAAAAAAACCCTCATAACAACTCCAGTGAATTTGGCTTCAGGAAAATACCTAAAGGTATAAGCTTCAAAAACATAAAGTATCAGCAAAAAGATTTGGCAAGGCAGTTCTACCCTTTGGTTCTTTGTCCTGCCGTTGGTCTTGGCTATGAGTTCTCATTGTCTCCAGGTGATTCCTAACCACTACCACAATTCCAGCAATATCGGAGCTACCCTTCTGAAAAGCTGATGTGCTGGTGAGCTGTGAAGACCTTCCCCTAACATGTGGGTACACATCTCATCAGCATATGTTTGGCTTTGGGCATCTTGAATTCCGAGCTTAAAAAAATTGGCACTCACGCAGGGAAGGGGGAAAATCTGCCTTTTCCCATTCTCTGTCTGGATTTGGTGTGAAGGTTTAATCAAGTTCAGTCCTCTTCTGTTGTTTTCAAAGTCAATGCCAAGTCTAGGCACAGGCTGGCTAAGTGTTGCTCTTCCGTGTGTTTCCCAGCAGTTGTGCAATGGATCTGATGTTTTTCAGCAACAATGGTGGGGAATCTCCTCCTTTCTCAAGGCAAAATAGGCTTTACTAACACATTAGCCAAGATTTTATTGTAAAATCATGGAAGAATGAGCCATGTGATCAGTGCTGTATGAATGAAATTCCAATCTGTAAATAGTCGGGCTGCAGACTCCCCACCCTGGTTTACAAGATTTTCTACACCATGATCCTAATGTTGGCTCATGCTGGCAAACAGCAAGACTGGGGACACAGTCAGTTTACTACACTAGGTTTTGGTATGCAAACTGTGTTCTTTCCAAAGGGTTTTTACAGCAAGCTTGGTCTTGCCAGGTGCCACACGCTCCCAGTTCCCATGAATTTCAGAGGAAGCACTTGGCAGTGTGCGGGGCTTGGCTCATAACATATGAAGGAATGTCTCAGCATCTGTGGCACTTGGATTAGCTGGCTTCATGCTGCCAAGGAGAGCAGAAGCTGATCCTCACATCTTTGATTAGATCAGCCTTAGCCTGATTAGCATTGCCTAATAAGAAAATTTCTATCTACGGTCACTGACCTCCAATAAATTCTGTATGATACAATTTTTGCACTGCAAATAAGCTATATGCTCTTTGCAGAATAAGGATTTGAGCAAAGTTCCAATTCCTCAAGGCTACTATGCATTTCTCATTATTATGTACTGCAGATGATGTCTTTAGGACATTGATTATTGTAGGAAGAAAACACCCACAAAAAGAAGGGTTCTAATTGCTTGTGTACGTATATATGTATATTTATATATATTTGTCATAAAATCATAGAATGTTTTGGGTTGGAAAGGACTTTAAAGCTCATCCAGTTCCAACCCCCATAACATGAGTAGGGACACCTTCCACTAGACCAGGTTGCTCCAAGCCCCGTCCAACGTGGCCTTGAACACAGCCAGGGGCAGCCACAGCTTCTCTGGGCAAGCTGTGCCAGTGCCTCATTTCCTTTAAATAGCCATTGCAGAGATGAAAGGTACATCTGTAAAGCCTCTGCTTTACAGCAGAGTAAGTCTTGTGTGCGAGAGTCATTTAAGTGCCTATTTGTTGTAATTAGACATATTACTAAAGCTTCTATATGGATTTCTAAAGGCACTGGCTGTGTTATTTCCTGCTGGTGTTTCACAGAAGCTACACGACATGAAAGAATCAGCATTTTGCCAGCAGTGATGGAGGACTGTCTTTCCGTGAGTGGTTCTCTCTGTTGGTGGGCAAACCTGGAAATGCAAGTGTGGAAATGGGATGGGAAAAAAAGCAGCGCCTCATCATCATATGATAAGTTCGAAAAGCCTGCTTTTAATGATGCTTGTAAGGAGCCACAGGGCACAAGAAGTTTAAATCTCTGATCACTCCATCACTTCTTTTTTGAAGTGCATGGTCACTGCAGATAGATTCCAAATGCTTAGGATGTTCTTGCTGCAGAAAAACTAGCAAACCTAAGGAAAAAAAAAAACAAAACACCAACATTCCTAAACCAGTTATTTAAACACTTGGCAGCTTTTTATCAATCAGTATTTATCTAACACAGAAATGCAGCCAGTTTAGCTGTTCTTACACATGCCTGAACTTGCCTTTTTTACAGCATGAATACATTTGTGCCTTTTCTGAACTAGTTGAAAGCTCTGTGCACTAATCTCCTCTCTCCCCAGCATTAATGTTCTCCTCCTGCCAAGAGGGGAGAAGGATGGGTCAGAAGCAGGGCTGCAGGAGATATGAACCTTTTCCCTCAGCCCTTTCTTGTAGTGCTGTTTTCATCATAGTGATTTTTCCATACTCCTTCTTTAAGAGGGGCCCTAAAAACAGATGTGAGAGAGGGAACAGCTGCTGTTATTTGTGCAAAGTTTGCACTGCCAGAAGGTTTGGAGAGCAGCTAGGTATCTTCTGGCCTAGGCTGACATCCAGCCTCTGCAAGAGCCCCTTGTGCCCTCCCACAGACCATCCAATCATTCAAAGCCTCACTTTACTCTCACCAGTATGTTAAACCACTTTCTTTCACTTCATTTTTCAGTTTCACCTTAGAGCTTGCACATTTTGGGGAGCAAATATGGTTGCACCTCTCTGTTTGGAACCACAACCAGCACTGTGGTGCTCTGTCTTGGTGAAGGCCCTTAAAATATTCATAATCATATTTATTAAAAGCTCTTAAGGACTCCTGGACATGTTAGATATGTTCTGACTTAACCACACATTTCTGGGTCACAAGCTATGCCATTGCCAAAAGGGAAGAAAGCATGATCTGAAAACAATGAGCATGATCATGTGCAAATCAAATTGTGATATGAAAACCATTTCAGATCTCAAAGAACAATTAACCATGGAGCACTCTACCTGGCAGGCTGAAATAAACCTGGAAGGAAGCTCGAACTCTCAGATTTTGCTGCCTAGAGTAATCTTTCTACATACAATAAGGTAGTCCCTGATGGGTTGCTGTGGGATTAAGGAAGAAGGCTGTATGGACATGCTTTTCATGATCTGTGCTGCTCTATAGCATAAAGAAGTTTGTTTTCATGGTGGCAGCACTTGCTCTTTGCCTTGCCCTGTCCTGCTGTACCCTGTCTCTGAGGACCAGCTTGATGCCTGCCAGCTCCCAGGGGAGCCCTCCCTCTTCCTGGGCTCCTTCATATCATCTCACAGGAGCAGAGGCAGTGAGAGGGCTGGGTTCTCTGCGTGGCGCAACCGTTCCACTCCCAGTTTCATGCCTCCAGGGCGCTGGATGGGGACGGCTGCAAATGGCCCGCTCTGTCTTTTGCAGAGCAGTGGAGGAAAACCCCCATCAAAGTCAGTCAAGAGAGGAAGAAAAGACCCCTGTCATCTTCAGGGTGGAGACGGCAGCTCCTAGAGGTGCCTCAGGTACCAGCAGTTGAATAAAATAGATCAAAAAGGGTTGGTCCTGCAGCACATAAAAACTCCTGGGAAGGCTCCTGATGCCTTGACTGAATCAAACCCTTAGAGAAGATAACTAATGAATTTACATCAAGTACAAGAATCCTTCCACTCAAGCACTATTGTCTGATATATAACAGGTACCAGCATCTGGAGGTGAAAACAAGAAGCTTTTCCTGGCTGCTCTGAGCAAAGCATTTTCAAGCTGAGCTGAAGAAGTGAGCCCATGAAGGGGGCGAGCTTCTTGTCATTAAAGAGAATTCCTTGTCCTAGGTTTCCCACAGCAAAGTCTCAGATGTCAGATTCTTAGAAAAATAACTCAATAGTTGAGTGTTACAGGAATGGGAGCAGCTTGAGCTGGGTGCTTCCAGGGAGACACCAAGAACACAGAAATTCCTGTGGGTTTATACCCTTACGTTCTATGCACACAACCATCACACTCTGTACATGGGCCTTACATGCTCCTCTTGCTCCAACGGTGAATGTCGGTCTGGGGTGCAGTGGTCTATCACTGGGTTCCTTCATGGCCTTGAGGCAGGCCATAAGTTAATTTTTATCTCTCTGGTAATGATGCAGCTCTATCTTCCAATTTGCACTGACCTCAAGACTTTTATTTACATAACTAAGTGCAGGTTGCAGCAGCCTAAGTCTGAAGTAACTTCAAGTACCCATGCTAACCAACTACTCAGGCTAAGCAAGACCACCACGTCAAAAGAACTCAGCTGAAGGATTCACTTAACTAAACTTTATTCACAACATTGTCAGAGGAAGAGAGCACTGCCAAAACTCTGAGCAGCAGCCTATGCCAGTGGGAGCTGAGCTGTGTGTGGGGAGTACTTTGTTCATGCTGAGCACAGACACAGAGACAGGTATTGTTCACCCACACATCTATAAGCTAAAACATCTTCAAGCCACATAAAGAGAAAAAGCTGGCCTCAAGAGAAAAGGAGGCAGTGCAGTCCTAAAAGTCACAAGGAAGAGGGTTGTTTTTAATAAGCACAGTGCTGCCGCTAGCTTAAAAGGAATAAATGAGCTTGAGCAAACCACAAAATGAAGAAAAAATACCTGGTAAAGGCCTTTAGCACCACTGATTGCCATGAAGTTGCCAATAAAAGCGGAGGAGTAGCATGTTTGTCCTACCTGTATTTGCTTGTGTACCTGTACCCAACACTTTGGCCATGAGTCCACTGCTGAGACAACATTGCTCAGAGGTTTCCTCTGTCCTTGACCTAAAAGCACATGGCAAAGGTGCTTAGACTTTTATTAAAGCATGGATGTTTAATGATCAAAGCCATGAGGGAAAAAAACAATATAGTATTTTGATCCTGTGAAGTGATTGTACAAGACTTAGCCAAATCCTACAAAAATGAGATGGTCAGAGTTAGCCCGTGTTGTACACATTTAATGTGCCATGTAGTCTGTAGAGGAGGCTGATGTCCTTGCTTCTGTTCTTGGTCTCACAAACAGACAAAGGCTCTGCAAAAGAAGCCCAGATCCCTGGCTTTACCCAGGCAGTACAAGCAATAGACTCTTTCCTCCTTTCTACAATGATGCATGCAAGGTAAAGTAGAGCAAAAAGATGAATAAAAAGAGAAATCAGTGCTTGATTTCAACTGCCATTTGTGATTTGGCTGCTAGGAAGCAGACACTTGCACCATTTTATCAGCAGCCCTGAAACTTGACACATTTTTGCTAGCTTTGGCCTCTTTCCTTGGATATTGCTTTTGCAGCATCAGAAGTTGCAACATTTACAACAGTTGCAAAATGTGGATTCTTGGCTGGCTCTGCTAGGCCTTAGGAAAGGAAAGAAGGAAAGCATATGCAATTTACAGAGAAAGAAATAAAATTCACAAGAATAATAGCAAGAGTGGAAGTTGTACCTCCCATTTTGAGCAGTGTTCAGGTCATAGCAAAGGGCAGCAGACAGGACAGTCACTTTTTCTGGGCTACTCTTACTGTCTCATATAAAGCAACAAAAGAACCAATACTCGCACATTTATACTTGCTAGGACCCAAGACTTCATTGGTCATAGCATCATAGAATCACAGAATGGTTTGGGTTGGAAAGGACCTTAAAGATCATTCAGTTCCAGCCCCACTGCCATGGGAAGGGACACCTTCCACAAGACGAGGATGCTCAAAGTTCCGTCTAGTCTGGCCTTGAACACTGCCAGGATGTGGAAGCCACGAAGATAAAGCCATCCAGATACCACCCCCCAGAAATATTCTCCTCTCCAATTTCTTAAGGACCTGAAAAGACAGTGATGGACCAATAGACCGTCTGCTCAGTTTTACGTGCATGGAGAGGTCTAATTGCAGCATACCCACTTCTGATTGTGCTTTGCCTTCCCAAGTCTTGATCTGCAATGCTGACCACCCACTCAGGCAGGAGAGGTGAGAATACCCAATACGGTCCTGATTTTACCACCCCTCCTTCCTCAGGAACTACTGTAAAAAGAGAATGAGGCATGGGACATTAACTGTTTGAATACAGATGTTGACATCATTAAACCTGTCATTACTTGCACTGCTCAGCAAACCAATTGCAGGGCAACACCCACTTTGGATAAGTGACTCTTATTACCAGAATGCCCCTTATAAAGTACAAATCCTATGGAATATCCAGCAGATAAAGTCCTGTAGGGAAAACAAACTCAGATCAGGGCGTGAAATCAGACACAGTGAGAATGACACAAAGTATTTGCTCATCCCTCACCCACCTAAAATGCCATATCTGTGCTGAGCCGATTTGAGAGGGCCCATGCCTGTTTTCCAGTGCAAGTACCTGATGGGGATCAGGGAAATGATCATTAAAGATGTCCTAGTTTTGCAGATCCACCCATTGCAGCTTGCTTTACCAATATGGTGTACATGACTGTAAGCTTCTCACTCACACAGTTTAGCTGGGGTGAGAGGGCTACAGGGACCTGGCACTTAAATAACCAATAAGCCTTTCCCTAGGAAGGCTTTGGACAGTCTATGATTCAACCTACTGAAGAAAGGAAAAGGTTCTGAAAGGTTTCAGTTACTGCATTTATGCCAGCCCTGGGACAGATCCACAGGTCAGAAGAAGGAGGAATCCAGTCCCCTAAGCAACCTCACAGTGTCCCCATCATTGCTCAGGCAGGAGGTGATTGATAGAAATATTCTTATGTATGTCACTATGAGGCATATAAACGGGAAATTTGGGGATAGTATGTTGATGTAAAGAAAGCAAATTGTTGGGAAGCAAAAGGTGTGCTTCACAGTTAGATAGTCATTTACCTCTGAAAAAAAACAGTTCTTCATGTGGTCTTTTCAATAGTCTGAGTCCTTGGAAGTTTTCCACCACAGTCAGATTTCCTAGCAGAGTCAGATTTTCTACCACAGGAAGATTTTCCACATCAGATGTTTGCTCTTTCTATTTTTTTTGATCCGCCTGCTCCATAGAAGTACAGATTGTCTCATTTCAGCCCATAAAACAGCAGCAATCTTGGATAATGTGGCTAAATAAGTTTATTTGGAAAGAGCTCACATTTTGAGGCACCTCTCCTGACTTTCCTTGCCAGGCCCTTTACTACTTGCTAAAACAGTACTTCCACCATAAATAGAAAGGCAATCACCTGCTTGCATCATTGGCCCAGGCTGTAGGAACAGTTGGCCTTCAGTCTCCCTCAGACTTGCAGAGCTACATTTCAATCCATTTGTCAGACACGACATAAAAGAGGAGACCTTTTAACGGTACATTAGCAGAGAAATGAATAAACCTGGCAGTGGAGGCAAAACAAAGTAGCTGGAATACTCAGCAAAGAGCAAAGCTGGAATGTCCCAGGGCCCATAGGAATTGGAGGCTTTTGATGAAAGTGCTTCCACGTAATGAATAAAATGTGGTATATTTATAGCTGTAATCTGGTCCTAGCTGTCACCTGACCGACAGACAGCTCCAGCCATATGACAGCTCAAGCGTCTTTGACTGCGTGCTACCATAGCAGCATTCCATACCCGTCCTGCACGTTTTCATGCAAGCTACTGCTACAGGCAGCAAAGGTCCCACTTTACCTACTAAAACACAAGTCATAAGGACATTTCCTTGGGGCAATAGGACAGCATTGGATGATTCAAGGTCACTCACCTACTATCAGGTGTCATCAAGATGTGGTGTTTGCATCTCTGCAGATATGTGCAGGCTTATAGGTCTTCTCAATCAGACCCTATTTCAGTACGATACTTAAGACAGAACCTGACTTTACATGGGTATTTCATTACTCCTCTTGAAGTATGCCCCTTAGTACTTCCATGAAGGGTGCAATGACAAGCATTGTTACTATGCTTTCCTAGAACAGAATGTACTACAAGGGCTAGGTAATATATTTTGCATCTCTTAAGATTCATCATGCATAACAGTTATCTCAAGTTTGAGCCAGAAATACATTCAATGAATTTTAATCAATGATAATAAACGCCTGGGAGGGGAAAGGATGAACCACAGAGTGTGAGTGAAATTTTAACCCTGCTGAAATCAATGACGATACTCACACTGGTCTCAGTAAAGCAAATATTTCACACATGATCACACTGACAGTGACCTCAAATTCACTTTTAGTGCCAAGTGTTCCCAAGGTCCTGCAACTCCAGCAATGTTTTTGGGTGTTATCACGTGACAAAACATTTGTGTGTAACTGTCCGGGTCTTGTGACTCTGGCACAGAGGGATTTAAAATTTCTTCATTCCCCATGTGACCCTGCTCTCGAGATGCTTAGCTATGAACTCTAGCACAGCCCCACACCCCTACAAAACCCTCCTTACCCTGACCCTGTGTACAACAGCCCTTTCCCAAATGAATGAGGGAGTATTTTTAGTTTGTTCCCTTATAATCCCTGTGTGCAAGAGTTTTTAGACAACTTGTAACCACCTCTTTTGGCTTTTCAGCCACTCACCAGACAGAGGTTTTCATGCAAGATAAAGGGTTTTTTTCTTTTCCTTGCAGTGCTTCCAGCTTGAGTGGTGTGTGTTGCATCCTTTCAGATAGCCAACTGAAAGCTGTGCAGGAGAGATAGTGGCCTCCTCCTCTTCACTTCAGCATCTAAAGAAAGAAATTTTCCCAAAGGTCTGTGAAGGTTTTCTCTGGAAAGTCTTTGTGCTTTGCTTTTTGGCTTAGTAGTTGGCACAGTAAGAATACAGAGCCAGTGTTTTCGTCCTTGATCTGGTCAAGGCCACAGTCAATACTTACCAGAAGATTACACAACACCCCTTTTCCTGTCCCTCTCCCCCCACTAAAAATCATCTGTGTCAACTTTGTTGGTTTTGGATCACAAAATTCATTTGCCTGCTGTGTGCCCAAGCTCTCAGTATCTCATCAGGAAGAAAATAAAACCCAAAAACCCCAACAACAAAGCAAACAAGCAAACCCAAACAAAAAAACCAAACCCCAACAAACAACATGGGAATAAATATGTTTACTCTCGTATTTTAATGCTTTGACTAAATGAAAAACCTAAAATAGAAAATAGAACTTCACACACTTTCTGCATTGTTACAACTGGTTGAAAACACCAGAAAAACTACCTTTTCTACATTATTTGCATGCATCTGGTCAGCATGTCTTGCAAAGAAATAAAAAAATAGAAACAATGACAGTGATACCTCTAATATTCAGAGCTAATACCCCAATACCCAGAGCCAAGAGACACGTGACAAATTTCTCTTGGAAGAGTATTCTGGAAGGAAGGGACATACTTTAGAAATGAGATGGCATAATTTATATGATAGTGTGTACAAAGAGCAGCTGTTGGCATCCTTGGAGATGGACTACGTCAGTGCTCTGTGAGGAAAAGTACCTGGGTTGGAAGAACTGTCTCTGGTGCAGGACATGCATTTGGACTGCAGTCATATTTGTGGGAGAGGCCTTTTATCCACCTCTATGAGTACATGCACATGCGCACACATGTACAGAGGCAGAAAACATTATTTTAGTAAGTGACCTTGCAAATAACTTCCTTTAACACTCAGAAGAACATTGAAAGGGTCTTGGCTAGACAACTGAGTGCAGCCCGTCTGTCTGATGCTTTTCTATCTTTCACGTCTTTGCCCCCTTCTTTACCAGGGGGACAAGTACAAGGCTGGGATTATTTCTGAAGGAAAAGCAAGCAATAATTCATGTCCAACATCTCTATGCCAATGTTAGTTTGTGTAATAGACAGACTCACCACCAGAAACTCTTCCCTTAGTCCCACCAACCCCACTGTATCTTGTTGAACAAGCTGCCCCATCCTCATTCACTCCTGCAAGAAGGGAAAAATCCATACCCCTGGAGACCGAGAAGAAATAGAGAGGAGCCATAAGATGTGGTGGCTGAGCCCACACCAGCAGCACAGCTCTAGTTCAGACTGTTCTTTACAAGTGTTTACAGGAATATGCCTGTGCATGGCTTTCTGCAAGTCTCACCAACACCTAGTTGGCTGGTTTCAGCTTGGCTAGTGTTAATTTTCTTCCTAAGAGCTGCTACAGTGCTGTGGTTTGGCTTTAGTCTGAGAATTACATTGATAAGATACCAATATTTTAGTTGTTGCTAGGCAGTGTTTATCGTAACCATGGACTTTTCAGTCTCTCATGCTCTGCCAGTGAGGAGGGGCACAGGAAGCTGGGAGGAAGCAGAGACAGGACACCTGACCCAGACTAGCCAAAGGGATATTACATACCACAGCACATCATGCCCTGTATAGAAACGGGTTTACTAGGAGGGGGGTGTTTGTTTTCTCTTTCTCTTTTTTGTTATTTCCCTTTCCATTAATATTATTACTACTAGTGGTAGTAAGTTACACCTTATTTTAATCATTAAACTGTTCTGATCTTAACCCATGGATTTCATCTCTTTCTGATTCTCCTCCCCATCCCACTGGGGAGAGATGGGGTGAGTGAGCAAGTGGCTGTGTGGTACTGAGATTGAACCACAACGACAGGTGAACAATTAACAGTAGGACTTCATCAGATCAAAGTCTGAAAAGTAAATATTTCTGTCAGGGATCATTACTTTGCTTTCTTACTTGGTTTGCCCTGGAACAATAGTGGGGATGGAGAGAAAAAGCCAGTATAATTTAACAATGATGCATTGAGTGAGACAGTATCTGGTATCACAGAAATTCCCCTCTCCTTGCCCCATAATTCATGTCTTTTAGAGCTAGGGGGATATTCTTGTGCTGCTTGCAGCAGGGGTAAATGAACATGGAGCTGTGGCTTTGGAAGAACATTTCAGATCTAGTGAAATATACTTTTGACCTTGGCATAAGAGCTGTACCAATATCTTGGTGCTCAAGGAGAAGAAAAACATAAACAGAGAAGCCTCCCATGTCTGACACTAGGATAGAACACTCTCAAGGGGAATTTTTAACCTAATTGTCCACCATCCCTTCTGAAAGAGCCAGAGAGTTAATGTTCCCTGTGCAGAAAACAGCATGTTGTAAGCAAAGATTGTTTGGAACCGTGCTTAATTTGATGAATAATATTTTAGTGGAGTCCAGTTACTCTCAGTGTATCCAAATATATTTGGATAGCTGTGAAACTGAAAAAGCAGAAGTGTTTGATAAATATTTCCTGCCTATATCTGGGACAAAGTTGAATGCCATTTCCACATTATATAATGAAGATGAAACGCTTACTATTCAAGCAACTTCGAAAAGAACATCAAAGAGCACAACTAACTTTTTAAAAGCAGCGAGTCTAGAGGACTTGCATGTTGGCATTTTAAAAGCTGGCTCTTCAGAGAACTGTTCTCACACAAGGTGGGAATGCAAGAGTTTAGAAACCATCCAGGAGACCATTTCTAAGAAGAACAACAGTGTTGTGTCAATATTTGAAGAGTGTGACTGAGGTTAGTCTACTTAATTTCAGGCTGGCTAGTCCAACTTCGCTCCTGATCTAGGTATAATGAAGGGGTTTGTACCAATTAATAAGGAGGTGGACAGTGGGGACGTAATGAAAGAGTAATCAGCAGTTTTCACGGGAAATGGTTCCTGTCAAAGAAAAAAATCCATCTGGTTATTTAATAAAATCATGGGTACAGCTGATAGCAGTAACTGTGTTGACTCAGTGCTGCACAGTATCCAGATCTGAGAAAATAAAAAAAAAATACAAAATCAATAGGAGTGCATAATAAATGATTTAAAAATAGCTATTGCAAATATCTTCAAATGGCTTTGTTATAAAGGATTCATCAATGAATAAAGACTCTTTTTAATGGACTCTTGCAAGCACTTGTGCTTGTGCTATTCATTGTATTTCATTTAGGATCTACAAGAAAACACAAGATGATTGCATCATTTGTGAACTCTGGTAGTTTCAAAACTTGACTATACTATTTAAAATTGCACTAATAGGAGTAGCTTGTCTTGCAAACAAAGACTGCTGGGATGAGGATAATTAGGAGAACGTGGTAAAATGAGTTTACTTAAAGGAAATCTCAGGACAGGCAAGTGCAAAGTGCACTTAGGAACAAGTATTCAGCACTGCGCAGGATCACAGAGACAGTATCTCTAAAGGCAGAAGTGCCTCTTAGTCCATACCCTGGAAAGCAGCAGACTGTCCTGTAGAAAACTGCACTTGAGAACATTTGTAGTGAGCTAACTCCAGTGCAACGCTGAGGCCACTGGAGCTAACAACAACCATGGGCTATCCGGATGAGTGAGATAAATAGGAGGCATTGCTGGCGTTCATTTATGGTGAAGTTGCTCCAGAAATTCAGAGTCCATTTCTTGTGTGCACATTTTTACTTTTTTTTTTTAAGTAATTTTAAAAACTGGAGGATATTCAGACATTATTTGCAGTGCATTATCATAGACTCATATAATACCAGGTTGGAAGGGACCTCAAGGATCATCTTGTCCAACCTTTCTAGGCAAAGCAGAGATGTCCCAGCACTCTGTCCACCCTAATCTTAGAAAAGTCCAGTGTTGGGGAATCCACCACTTCCCTGGGGAGATTACTCCAATGGCTGATTGTTCTCACTGTGAAAAATTTTCCTCGTGTCCAGTCCGAATCTCTACAGAAGTAACTCGTGCCCACTATCCTCATCTTTTCCATGGGACTCCTTTGTCCAAAGAGAGTCTCTGTCTTCTTTGTAGCAACCCTTTAAATAGTGGAACATGGTGATCAGGTCTCCCCTGGGCCTTCTTTCCCTAGGCTGAACAAGCCCAGCTCTCTCAGCCTTTCCTCACACATCTTCCTGGTCCTTGGATCATCTTTGTGGTCTTCCTCTGGACCCTCTCCAGCCTGTCCACATCTTTTTTGTATAGTGGGGACAAAAACTGAGCACAGTATTCCAGGTGTGGCCTGACAAGAGCTAAGTAGAGTGGGACCACAGCATCCACTTATCTGTTTGCACAGAAATTCACAGTGCTATATAAATGACATTTCAAAATAATGATAATTTTGCTGTAAAACTTCCATATAGACATTTACATTCTTCCATATTTATTCCACTCTAAGGAAACTTTTCTCCTGTAATGGTAAATGAGGTTTATACAATTGGCCTTCCTTTTCATTTCATGTAAGTATATGGTATGGAACTTGAGTCCTGTGTCATGCCAGAAACTTCCAAGATACTCCACACCTATGAGCCCAGAGCTGCTAACAGTAAAAAGGGGAATATACTCCTTTTTTGAGCTGAAATGAGAGAGGTCTGGACTCTCAACTTCATTTATACCAGCCTACCCCAGCAAAGACCTTCTTCACAAAACTAAAGTAAAAGCTACTGGGACTCTTTCAGGAGGGAATACAGGCTCTGGAGTTAGCTTTGCCTTTAATAAACCAGTTTTCAGGCCATGTAGGTCTCCAAGATAGCTGTAATGAAGAACATTCACATTGCAACTCTCAGTCACTCAGCTTGATGATGATGAATCACCAGGGCTTTCTGTCTATTGTCTACAGAGACACTGGGCACCAGAATGTAGCATCTGCATTTGGAGAGCAGATATATACTCCCAGAAATGTACATAGTAACAAATCAAATGATCTGAAAGAATATATAAAAAAGGTAAAGAACATTTGAAGTGCCCCTTGTTCATGTGGACAGTCTTTCCTTGATCTCAGACAAGGAACTAAAGGAGGGAGAATTTGAGGAGGATGACATAAGTAAGGGTGAAACAGTTGTTGAATGATAAAAGAAGGTGAAATATCCCTGGTGTTGATGGAAGTAGGATAAAAAGTGAGATCCTTAACAGCCTTTGTCTTCAAAGATTCTTTGTCTTCTTATCTATAAGGTAAGTAACATTCCTTTTTG